ACATTTCTGAACACAGGAACAGAATAAAGAAGATTATACTCACATCTTTTTCAAAATAGTAAGCCACATCAGCTATGTCCACATCATTCTGAGTTTTTTGAGAAGAATTTTGAACCAGATCAATAGTAATAACATTATCCTCATACTGGGGAAAAAATTGAATACAAATTAATTCTAATATCAAAAACATATGAAAATAACATTATTTGAGAATCAGAATATTCAGTGTTTGATTTTCTGTAATCTACTTGCATCGCTGTTCCTTTCCATTAGTGGATAATTATGTTTAGCACTAATCAAGAAATCTTTGGGAGGTCTCTAACTCTATCAAAGGAAAATAAGACAGCCATGCAACCAAACATAATTACAATGCACAATTTTTCCTAAGATAATCTTATCTTGAAAAGATTTTAAAACAAGCTATCAAAGTATTTTATTTGAATTAGAACTACTTTAAAACTAAAATACTAAAGAAATGCAATCTAAAATGCAGTATGCATTTACCATGTTGTTTTTAAAGAGCAAAAAAAGTATATTCTTTCTAAAGAGTCTTGAATAAATTCATACTGCCTTCAAAGAGTTCCATCACACTATTCAAGCTTCTTTTTATTTTTTAAACCAGAGTTGAAAGAGTTAAGTAGGGGCTAACTGGTTAAGGATTAGTTCCTTAAAGCAGAGATGATGGGAGCTCCAATAACATCCTAAAGTAAATTTGCACCAAAAGCATTACTTACCAAAAGTTATTTTGGTGCATATTTACTTTAGTATGTTACTAGAGCTCATCCACAGGGACAGCTTCTCCAGGGTAAGAAAATGCAAATGTTTGGCTGGGTGCAGTGGCTCATGCCTGTAATCTCAGCGCTTTGGGAGGCTGAGGTGGGCGGATCATGAGGTCAGGGGTTCGAGACCAGCCTGGCCAACATGGTGAAACCCTGTTTCTACTAAAATTACAAAAATTAGTGGGGTATGGTGGCAGGAGCCTGTAATCCCAGCTACTCGAGAAACTAAGGCAGGAGAATCGCTTGAACCTGAGTGGCAGAGGTTGCAGTGAGCCAAGATTGCACCATTGCACTCCAGCCTGGGTGACAGAATGAGACTTTGTCTCAAAAAAAAACACATAGATGCACTGCCCAACTGTTTTCCTACTGCTATGCTTTGGACATGCCACCCTCTCACACAGCTAGGCAATATGGCCAGTGCTGGTGGAGTGAAATAGGAATTCAACTTTTGTTTTCTTCCAGATAGATAGCCAAACATGGTTGATTGAACTGGAAATATAAGTTCCCAAATACCCTCAAATCTATTTCTGAATTCTGTTGTGTAAGATTTTCTTTTTCTTTTTTCTTTTTTTTTTTTTTTTTTATACAGGGTCCTAACTCTGTTGCCCAGGAGGGAGTGTTGTGGTGTGATCATGGCTCACTGCAGCCTTGAACTCCTGGGCTCAATTGACCCCTCCCACACAGCCTCCCTAGTAGATGGGACCACAGGTGCAAGCCATCACGTCTGGCTAATATTTGAATTTTTAGTACAGATGGGGTTTCACCATGTTACTTAGTCTGGTCTCAAACTCCTGGTCTCAAGTGATCCACCTGTCTCAGCCTCCCAAAGTGTAAGCCACCGCACCCAGCCATAATTTTTTTTTTTNGTGATCCACCCGCCTCGGCCTCCCACAGTGCTGGGATTACAGGCTTGAGCCACCGCGCCCGGCCTAGGAATTAAAAATATTTAAGAAAACCATGCATAGCCACATATAATTACATACAATTGTATGCCAAAAGAACTGCTGCCAAGAATCTTTATGATTTTAGAGATAACAATCTAATCTATTGAAACTTTAAAAAAAAGCTGGCTGGGCGAGGTGGCTCATGCCTGCAATCGCAACACTTTGGGAGGCTGAGGCGGGCAGATCACCTGAGGTCGGGAGCTCAAGTCCAGCCTGATGAACATGGAGAACCCCATCTCTACTAAAAATACAAAATTAGCCAGGTGTGGTGGTGCATGCCTGTAATCCTAGCTACTCAGGAGGCTGAGGCAGGAGAATCGCCTTGAAACCGGGAGGCGGAGGTTGCGGTGAGCAGAGATCACACCATTGCACTCCAGCCTGGGCAACAAAAGCAAAACTCTGTCTCAAAAAAGAAAAAAAAACTGTTTATTACAGGAACCTTTCAATATACATGAAACTAGAAAGAGTAGTGCAATGACGCCTTGCACCCATCACCCCAATGCAATGACATCAAAATATGGCCTCTTATTTCATCCTTTCTTCCTTTTATCCCTTCACCCCTGCCCAGATTATTTTGAAGAAATCTCATATTTCAGCAGAAAATACCTCACTATAATAAAGTGTAAACGAAATATTTTAATCATACCAGTTACATAGTCTTTTTAGATTCTTATTTGTGTAAATTATAAATATCATAGGGGAGCATATATGCACAAACTAACTACCAAGTAGATAATAAATAATAATAGAATTATAGGAAAGAGGGGAGATATTTTAGGCAGAACAATTTGATAAGAGGCGTAAATATACAAATAAGCAAGATGCATGTAAGTGGCAGGGAGGACGAAATTAATGGCAGCAGAAAAACCACGTGGTCGATCTATAAGTGGAGAAAAAGGTGATGAAATATTTTTAATTTGGCCAGGTGCAGTGGCTCATGCCTGTAATCCCAGCACTTTGGGAGGCCAAGGTGGGTGGATCACTTGAGGTCAGGAGTTTGAAACCAGCCTGGCTAACATGGTGAAACTCCATCTCCACTAAAAATATGAAACAACTAGCTGGGTGTGGTGGCGCATGCCTGCAATTTCAGCTACTTGGGAGGCTGAGACAGGAGAACTGCTTGAACCTGGGAGGTGGAGGTTGCAGTGAGTAGAGATCGTGCCACCGTACTCTAGCCTGGGCGACAGAGCAAGACTATGTCTCAAAAAAA